TATGTGTAAAAAAAATACAAAAATTAATTTATTATTATATATCATCAATAATTATACAACCACAGCATATTTTAATATTAAAAGAAAGACTTTAATAAAGACTTAATGGAAGACCATATATAAAGAATAGAGCCGTGAAAATTACCCCGAGAACAGTGGGCACAAGGGGACAGCTTTCGGCGCCTTCAGTGCCGCTCATCTTCCGCTTACTAATTTTTTATATAATTTTTTTTTAATTTTATGCATTTTTAATTTTTTTTTGAAATTTAATTAACATATATTTAAAGATATATGTTGAAAATATATTAAATATATTTTTTAAATATAAATTTGTATTAAAAATAAAAATTAATATTTAATTTATTAAATAACTAATTAAATTTACCTGATATTAAAATTAATATTAATGTTTATTTTTATTATATATTTTTTATAATAAAAAATATAATAAACACATTTTTTTTGTTTTAAGAACATAAAATAAAATAATTATTTTTTAATAATTTTTTAATAAAATTGATATTTAACTAAACATATCATTAGTGGGAACTATATAAAAAAATAATAAAAAAAATAATGAAAAAAGGCCATGAAAATTACCCATGGAGCAGTGGGTACAAGAAGATGGCTGGGAGCCTTCGATGCCTTATTCCCTCCTCCTGCCTTTCCGTGTTTCTCTTTCGGAAAAGTTTCTTTCTCAGCCTTGCATTCCTATCCAATCTCCTTTTCCCATTCAACATACATACATACATATATATATATATATGATAATTATTGTTTTGTAATTTATGTAAAGTGGACTGTAATTTTCTTAATTATTGTCAATTAAAAATAATATTTTAATTATTTATGAAGGTGTTAACTTCTATATCAAATAACTCATCCCTCCACCTTTTTATCTGTAATTATAAGAAGAATAATGTATGCATTTTTCTATATATATATATATATATATATTCTCCTTTTTTATGCAATATATACCTGTAAAGTGTAAACTCCTCTTGGGGCGTCCTTTCTTTCACATCAAACCCAAATTAACTTAGTACTATATATATATATATATATATACATACATAGGACAATGATAAGCTTACCATCTGTCGTTACACATCTATCCACACACTAACGGAATCCGTCAAGTACACACCGATCATTCTTCTTCTTTCCCTCACCTCTTTCTTTCTTCTTCTTTTTTTTTTTTTTCTCTCTCTCGGTGGAGAACCCAGCTCGGGTTCTCACCAGAGAAATAAGAGGAGAGAGAAAAAAAGACTGGGTAACAAACACCGTCAGTTTGCATAACGGAGATAGTTAGGGTGTAATAAAATGTGTAACGTTAGAGTGTATGTATATCTTTATCCATATACATATTATATGTTCTTAAACCAGCATCTTATGTATTTTTTTAATCTCCAGTTGTATTTTATTATTTGAATTTATATGATTTTAAGTTTGTGTTATGCGAGATTAGGAATTTTTCATCTATAATTGTTAATAAATGAAAATTTATTTTAGTTGAAAAAAAGACATATTAGGTAGCAAGAGGTAGATTGCAAGTTCCATGTGAGATATTTCGTAGCTTGAAACTTCAAGACATCAAGACAGCATTATATAGTCATGAGGGCCTTCAAATATGTTGATGGATATTTCATGGAAATGCATGTTGGCCTTCACAGACCAAATGGACTTCTTTCACATGACTTTCGCTGGTATTGTCTCCGTCCAATTTTAGCAAATATCTTGTCTTACCAAAAAGAAATTGATGAAACTCACTCTTTGGTTTTTTTTTTTTTGAACAGTAAAAAATAATATTTATTTATTAATAAATGAAGTACAAGAAACTCACTCTTTGTTTTATCAATATCTTGATTTTACATTCTTAAGTTCCAAAAAGAAAGTTCAGAACACAAAGATTTTTACAACTGTTCAACAATTATGCATACAAAATCTCATTCCACGTATGAGCATAAACAGATGCAAGAGCATCTTAGGTCATAATTTTTCATTAACGTGGGATAGCTCGGAGTCTTCAATGCCTCATTCCATTCTTCTGCATTTTGTGTTTCTCTTTCGAAAAAGTTTCTCAACTTTGGATTCCCATCTAATCTCGTTTCCCTTTGCTCATTTTCCCTGTATTTTCTACTTTGGATTCAGATATAAAAAATGCCCTTGGACACAACCAAAGAAAACAGGGATTTTTTTTTTTTTTTTCACACTTTTCATTACTTCAGAGTTAAAAAATGTGTCAGTGGAAGATAAGACAAAAGGCACTGCCCCCTAAGTTCTTATGAAAAAAATTAAAGTATAAGGTTATTAATATTTTTAATATTTGACAGTAAAAATTATTAGAGAAGATTTAAATTTATTTAGATATTTTTCAGATTTAATAAAATAATTTAAAAATTTTAAATTTAAATTAACACTAACAAAATTATGAATTGAGTAATAGTATGTCCTGTAATTAAAAATAGTAAACAAAATTACATAATCACCCTTGCACAACCCTTTCAGTTATTCATCTTTTATCCCGGATCTGCCCTCTCTCCCTCAATTGTAAATAGAAAAAAAAATTGATAATTGTAAAAGGAAATAATTTTGTTTAAAATTAATGTAGAGTGTTATAATTATAAAAATTTTTAATATTTAAATATTAAAAATTTATATTATTATTTGATCATTATTTTTAAAAAATTGTATAGGGCCACAATCTCTATATCGTCGCCTTTGTGTGATGGTGGATCGAATTTAGTCAAAATGATAAGAAAAAGAAAGCTCCGAGTTATCATATAAAAAGAGGTTATTAGTTTATGACCCACCTAGCCTCCTCGGCCAAGTAAAGGGGCAAGCTCTGGTGATGATAGCTTGAATTTAGCTTCATAACCTATAGGAAAATAATACATACGCCTTCCAAAGTTACATATTTTGTTACACACTGACGGTTTCCATAGTATATTATTAAAATTGAAGGTTTTCATTACTTTTACTGTTAAAACTGACGGTTTTTATTATTTATATTGTTAAACTAACGGTTTTCATCCATTTTAACGGTATATTAACAGAAACCGTCAATGTACAATAGAGTGTATAACTTTTGAAAGGTTTATATATCAATGTCTTAGCCTATAACACTCTGCACCATGAAGATTTTTATAGGAGATTCTAATTTGTATGGCGATGAAAACAAAAACAAAATATGTTGTGATTTATGTCTTATTTATCAACAACAGGTTTTCCAAAGAAAGGAATTATAGGAATGTGATCAGAAAGTATCAATGACGACATTATAAGTTCTGAATTGTCACTGATCCATCAAAGAAACATGGAAAATACATATAATGAGGGTAATTTGATCAACAGCTGTAGAACACACAAGACTACTTGTTTGTTTAGAAAGAAAGAAGAAAAAACACACACGCAATATTTTAGACGGCTTCACCGTCAGAATTACCTCCCTCCTTCCTCAGAGTTCACAACGGCATTCAAGATATCCTCCATACCTGCAACATAAATGCAAACATTAGTAAGGGTGATTTAGAGGAGAAACAGCCTTTTATTTCCCCTCCAATTAATACTAGAAACAATAGATTAAGTGTTTACGTAGTAGCGATCTTAGTCCACAAATATCCTCTGAAAATGTCACGTTTGTGTGTGAAGGTGGGCTTAAGACTTTGAGAGCATCGTCTTTTTTCCCCGGGAGCCACTGACCATGTAACTCTAATTCCTTGAGATGTATTTTTCTTTCCAGCTTCGCACGTCTGGCTTCGTTAGCATCAATCTGAGGATTCTGATCATCTTCAACTATCAATGCCAGAAAACGAAGGTTGCACAAGTTTTCCAAATCCCCCAAGCTAAATTTTTTATTATCATTGTGATCACAGCAAACCACAAGCCCTCGCAACGCTCTAAGAGAAGTTAATCTCCCAATTCCTTTGGGATGGTAAATTGTTGGAGGACAAGAACCAGATGTGTCAAGATACCTTAAGTTGACCAATTTCTCTATCTTATCCGGCAATCCCTCCAGAAAATAACACCATTGTAGAAACAAGGATTGCAAATTAAGTAATCCACATATTGCTTCAGGCAGTCTTTTTAACTTACTATGAGACAAATCAAGCAGTTTCAGATGCATCAATTTGCCTACTTCTTCAGGAAATTCATTAATATTACCACCACGGCAAATCAATGAACGCAGATGTTCTGGTTGAATAAGTAAGTTACCGGTTTCATCTTCTTCTGCATGATCACTCTTGAAGATGGATAAGCTTCGCAATTTTTCTGCACCAACAAGTGAAGTAGGAAAGCATGCATTTTCTGTCAGTACTACCAACAGATGGTGAGTTTTCTCTGAAGAAAGCTCTACTCTCATATTATCGTCATGAGGATGAAACTCTTTCACCACAAATTCATTTCCCATAAGGAAACGGGCAAAGTCAAGTACTATGTCATGAATCTTACATGCCCTTATGCTACCATCTTCATGTGTTTTAAGATCTTGAAAGAAAGACCGTGCAGCCAAGCACTCAAAGTACTCAACCCCAGTAATTTCCATCTCAGGATTCTGACTAGGATTTAAATAACCTTGTGCCATCCACTGATAAATCAGGACATCTCTTTCGATCTCAACACCTTTACGGAAGGTAGAGCAATACAAAAAGCACCGTCGTACAGCTGAGGGTAAATCAAAATAACTCAAGAACAAAGGTGCAAAAACAGCTTTCAAACTTAATTCCCATATCTCACTGTTCAAGATATTTGTCCACTCTTCTCTTGTTTTCTTGGAACGTAGCATGCTTCCGAGCGTTTTTGCAGCCAATGGCAATCCACCGCATTTTTTTGCAATATTTTTTCCGATGTCCTCTAAATTTTTTGATTGCTCATCATCCCTTCCCACAAACGCTTCCTGGCTGAGTATTCTCCAACATACATCTTCACTCAATTGCTCTAGACGAAAGACATCAGAGGATTTCATGGTGTCCATGACTGTATCATTTCGTGTGGTCACCAAAATCCTACTTCCAGGTGCAGCAGGTTTGAAAGCTTGATTAAATGATTCCCAAGATTCACTTTCATCGGGCCACACATCATCCAGAACAAGAAAAACCTTCTTCCTCTCAACATCTTCGCAAATTTTTTCCAGAAGACCTTGCAGTGTAAACGAATCAAGATTTGGGGCTGAAGCTGAAGCACGATCAGGCTCTGCAAGACCCATAATAATTGCCTTCGCAACATTCCTCGAATCGCAAACTCTCGAGACGCAAACCCATATTTTCTTATCAAAATGGGCCATAACTGCCCCATCATTATATACAAGTTGAGCAAGAGCTGTTTTCCCGATCCCTCCCATGCCTACAATCGAGATGGTTTTGACATCACTGTTACCACACAACAAACTGTCTATTAAGCGTTTCTTATCCTCATCTCGACCATGTAACTTTGACACCTCAGCAAAAGAAGTACTTTCTACTCTTCTAGGCTGTCTAACTTCCCTTGATATCAATTGATACCTATCTTTATCCTTAGCAATCTCATCTAGTCTTTCATTGATGCCCTTTATTCTAAGAGCAATGCCACGGCGATGAACAACTGGACCACAACTAAAACATGAAAGGAAGAGACGACACACCTTTCCTTTGAAAAGAGAGAAGTTTTTCTGATCTGATTCATCTAACTGCAACTTCAAGGGCGCAGTGTTCCACTCATCCAACACGTCCTCGATGTCATAACACACTTCTTTGAGGCGTTCTAACCAAATCTTGATGCTTTCATCCTTCATCTGCTTTTCCTCAGCATCATCAAGCAAAGCGTGGATGGACTTGAGATTGCTTTCGAGGCTCTTGATTTCTTTCCCCACACCAGTCACCAGTTTCACCTCTTGTTTTATCTCTTCATAAATGATTGTAGTTAGCTGCTGCAAGATAGCGGAAACAAGCGCATCCGACATTTTCAGAGATAATAGTGATTGATGAGAGAAATTGAAAAGAAATGAGAAAAATCGGTAAAGAAACAGAGTGGAGGAGGTAAACAGTGAAGGAAAAAAAAGGTTAAGATGAGTTCCTGTATTTAAGAGAGAAAATTAACTTGCTATCAGATTTTAAGGAGACATGATAATTAGGAAAACGTGTCGGACACTGTTGTTGATTGAGAACTTTAGTTATTGGATGGCACGCCCGATGTTTGGGCCTCCTTTAATTATTGCGCTTGCAATGGGATTACTGACGTAGAACTCCTTTAATAATGATTATTATTATAGATCAACGTAAAATTAGGTACAATTGAGAATGGATCTTGAATTTTTACTTTTATTTTTTTTTAAATCTATATTTTTAGAATATAAATTGAAAATATAATAAATATATATTTTTATAATTAATTCACATTAAAAATTATAAAAATTGATATATATATTTTAACATCATCATTAAGGTGTAGGTGACGTGGATTTAATGAGTTAGCAGCAAAGATGACGTGGAGGTTGACAGGAATGCTACCTACACAGAATGAGGAGGGTCCTTTTGGTTGGCACCCATTTCACGTGCAAGAAACTATATGCCACGGGCCATCTTACTCTACTTGGTGAAGATATTCGACAGTGCTTTCTTTAGCGAAGTCCGACAGTAGAAGTTCTCCAACCAAACTAGGAGAGTTAAGTAGCAATGATGAGATTCTAAGGTCCTAATGATGATTACATAACTACCAAAAAATAATGAGAATAGAGCATTCATTGTAGTGGGGGATGTCATGGACAATGAATATATATATATAAATCAAATGTTATGTTAGAGAATATTTATATTATAATTATGTTGATTAGGTTCACATTATAATTGATTGACATAATTAGGTTAATTGATTTTGTACCATAGAATATTATCTTGTACAAGCCTATAAATAAGTATCTTATATATTTAGTGAAATTAAAAAATGAAGAGTTTCTTTCTTCATATATCTTTATATTTTTCTTCTTTTTATATTTCTATCATGTTACAACTTGAGAGATACATTTATGCATTATATATTGTGACATAATAGTAAGTGCAATAAATATTCCCTCTACTATCTTAAATGAAAACTCCCAACCTATAATGAGAAACCCTCATGTTGGAGATGCGGAGCACGATGATCCCCCTTTTTAAACTTTCCCATGAACGAAAGAGATAAACTTGAAAGTAGTGGTGAGAGAAGGAAGGATAATTGTCATGGGGGCTTGTAGATGGGAGGCTTGATCCCATTTTCCCTTGATGCTAACTCCTTAGTTTGATCGCCTGATGCTCAAGAAATAACTTAAAAATCTAGATTGCAATAGTGTTATTCCCCAGCTATGATACTCTATAGGTTCGGAAGATATTTTTGCAAGGTTGGAAGTGTAGAAAATTGTAAGAAAATGTAGATTTTTAGGGTATTTTCAGTGTATAGAGTGTGAGGTTGAAGGATAAATACACGATAGAGTTTTCTGGGTAACAGATCAGATCCAGATCTGGTGGGAGGGATCCCACCCACCGGACCAGGCTCCCATTGTTCCCAAAAAACCCCTCTGTTCAGGAATTTACCTAAACAGAAACAAACACAGAAAATAAGCCTCCTTTTCAGTCGCCGTCAACCTCCAAAGAAAATGCTTTCTTCCCTTCAACCGGCCTTTCTCCCTCTCTCTGCCGCTCTCCTCTTTTTTTCTTTTCGAACTTCTATTTATACAACAAGAACTAAAACCCTAGAATTTTTTTACCCTCTATCCATCTACACCATTGAGATTTGCCCTCCTAAATCCTCACCCTTGATGGCAAAATGCCAAGATGGATAGCCTCTGGTTTCTGCAGGGAAAAGCAGAGGATTGAAAGCTTTTTTTCTTCTTTTTTTCTTGTTTCTTGTGCAGGCCTCTGGATAAAGCAGGCACGGGATTGAGCTGCAGTGGGGTGCAAAGGATCGCAGCAAGCAGGGGGCGCAGTGCAAGCTTAGTACAGCAAGCGAGGTGCAGGGGCGTAGGAGCAGGATTGGCGCAGCAAGCAGGGGCGCAGGCTCGGTGCAGGCGCAGGGACAAAGGCACAGCAGCAGGGTCGACGCAGCAGCAAGGTCAGCGCAGCAGGGGGCGCAGAGCAAGGGGATCTGGGCATGGTCGGGCCGCAGAAGAGAGAGAGGAGGCCAAGGGTTGACTTTGAAGAAGATTCCAAAGACC